TCTATTAATTTATTATCATAATTTATTATCAATTTGATTTTCTATTAATTTATTTTCTATTAATTTATTATCATAATTTATTATCAATTTGATTTTCTATTAATTTATTATCATAATTTATTATCAATTTGATTTTCTATTAATTTATTTTCTATTAATTTATTATCATATTCTAATTTCCTAATTTAAAAATTTATTTATTTTCGAATTAATGTTAAAAATATTTATTTCTGATACATTTAGTTAAACTATTATAGCTGATTAAAATTATCAAATATAAATTAAAATGATATGAAGTATTTCATTTCATTAATTTCAATTTAGTCTGGAAATTTTTTTTTTTTGGTAATTTTTAATCATAAATATTTAATTGAGATATTTTACATGCTTATGAAATATTTAACATTAATTTTTGCTCATGAAATATTAGCAGTTAAAAATTAAAAGGAATTACAAATAAAATAATTATTTTTAACTCTTGAATATGACAAATAATAATAATAATAATAATAATAATAATAATAATAATAATAATAATAATAATAATAATGATAATAATATTAATAATAATAATTAACAGTGATAAATTATTTGCCCAACATTTTTCCATACTTTTCTCTCATTTTATTTGAAAAATTTTTGATAAATCTAATAAAAAAAATTGGTAAATTTGTATTTAGAAAGTTAAACTTCACCTAAGAAAGTTTTTAAAAAGTCATTAATCATTTAAAAATTAATTAATGAATTTTTTTTTTTTTTAGGTGCATAGAAAAAGAAATTCAAATAAATTACACATCTGTTTCATAAAAAAAAATAGTTAATTTTTTTTTTTTTTGGCAGCAATTATGAGAAAGTAAAACAAAAATGCATAAATTTTTTTCTTCGTTAAATCTTCAAATTTAATGAAAAATTATTTTCTTAGATAATTATTTTCAATTATTAATGGAATTTAAAAAAAAAATTTTGTGCTTTCGTTTTAAAGAAAAATAAAACGAACAAAATTTAGTTCAAACATAAATGTGAAATTTTTGCTTTTAACTTTTTTTGCTTTTTTTGTGTGTTTTTTTTTTTATTTTTGGCATTTTGAAAAATGTTTTTATTTTCTTTAAAAGAGAGAAAAAAAAATAAACTAAAAGAAATAATATATTTTATTAGAAAATGTTTTGCATTGAATGAATACATTTTTTTTTTTTTTAAAAAAAAAAATTGATTTTTGAAAAAAATTTTCTAAACTATAAATTTAAAAAGTAAATTATAATTTAAAATTCTTTTGCAATCTATGAGTACAATATGAATAAGCCAGATGGCATTCAGGAAGTAAATTGTTAATAAAGGTTAGACAAATATTTAAACATTTCAAAAAAAAAAAAAAAATAACACATACCACAAACAAATAGTATGTTCTTTTTCAGAAATTAAATTTTAATTTAAAAATAGTTTTATTAATTGAAAAAAGAAAATTATGACATAAAAATTAATTACACAATAATCATTACTACTACTTCTTTTTTTACTAAAAAAAAAAGAAAAATGAAAATATGTTTCAAACTAAAATTAAAATTCGAAATTAGCAAATTAATCATTTTGTATAATTCATTAAAAAAAAAAATAAATAAATATTGTAATTAATGACTGAGCATAAGAAATGATAAATAAATATGAAATTATATTAATGAATGTAATATAAGTAATCATTTCATAAATATTTGTTGAGTAATAACCATTGAAATAGGCAAACATTTCATCTTAACTTTTATAATTTTTTAATTAAATAATAAATTTAATAATAAATCGATATTAGAAAAAACGATTATTAGAAAGAATTCGATTTTTAATTTAATTATTAATTTCTTTTCTTATTTTTATTATTGATTTAAATTATTATGATCACTTAATTAAATATGAAACTAATCAATTAAGCAATCAATCAATCAATCAATCAATCAATCGATCAATTCTGAACTATGTGTGATCTTTAATCGTACTTACAATTTAACATTACTAAGTTATCAACGTAAATAATTTACAAAAATTTTCATTCATTTCTCTAAATTTCGAATTATTTTCGGATTAAATAATTTCACGCATAATTTTATCATTTTAATTGTTAAATTTAATAGAAAGAAATTTATTTTCACATTTTTTTTTTCTTAATTAAATTAATTAATATATATTATTAAATAAACATATTTAACTTATTTGGATAAATTTTTTCAATTTATTATACTATAAAATTTTATTTTATAATATTTCGAATAAACTTTTTTCTTTGCTATTTTAATACTTTGGTTTTTTTTTTTCTCAATTTTTTCTCTATTATTTTCATAATTTCATATGAATATTAACTTATTTTAATCTTTTCTCCTCCAATTTATTTGTTTCTTCTCGATAGTTTCACGTAAACGTGATTGCGCTGACGTGAAACCGAGTAATTTATATTAATAATACGCACTAATTTTTGTTTTGCCTCATTGCTTTTTGTCATTAATTTATTTTTAATTTCACATAAGTATGTGAATTTATTGAAAAAAAAAAAAATTCATTTATAAAATTCTCATCGTAATTTTTATATAAATATGATAAGTAATTGATAACTTTATCAGTTTTTATCATTAAATCTTCTAACAGGACGTAAGAAATCTTTCCTCTAACACGTCTGACACGTGACATCTGACGTGACGTAAACAACCACAATTTTTGAATTAATTTAAGATAATAATTGATATGAATTTATGCATGAAATTATTAAATAAATGAAAAAAAAAATGCTATAATTACATTGTTGACAGAGGAAAAAACAAAACAAAAAAACAAAACAAAACGAATAATTAAATTATTTCGAGAAATTGAATGAATGTGTTATATTTTTAATCAAAAATGGAAATAGAAATGAATTAAAATTTCAAATATTTGAATTAAAATAAAATAACTGTAATGTTATCGATGACTTACTTATCATTATTTTTATTATTTTATTTTAATTAATTATTTTAATTAATGATTTTGTAGTTTTTTAAATTAAAATTTTCCACTCGTAATTTCGACGCTGCATCAACTAATCAGCATAAAATTTAATTAAAAATAGGAATTACACTAATTACCATTCGTTTGTTATTGACATAATTATGACTTGAAGAAAAAAAAAAGTGGAAAACTAAGTGAAATATTGAAATTATTCAAAAAATATTATAGTTAAAAAAAAAAATTTTTTTTTTTTGAAAATTCTAGAAAATAGGAAAAAAAAAACAAATAAATTAGAAAATAGAATTAATTATATTTTTTATTATTTATTAATTATATTTTTATTATTTATTTATTTATTTATTTAACTATTTGATTTATATACAATAAAAATTTGTATAATTTTTAATATTTTTATAATGATAACAATAATTCTTATTGCTTAAATGCAAATATCTAATCTACAAATTAAAATTTTTTATTTTTTAAATTTTATATTATATTTTCTTTTTCATTAAAAAAAAAAGAAAATAGAACAAAAGAATTACTTTTTTTGAAGACCATTCTCGTTTGTAATATTCAAAAAATAGTTACTTTCATTGTTAACTTCAATTTCTGCTCCAATACTATGGTATGAATCAGTTGTAATAAGCCATTGACAACTAAGGAAGAAAAATTTTTAATTTACAATAATTTCAAATTTTTTACACAAAAATTAGAGAAGAAATTTGTTAAATTCACAAATAAGTAATTAGTATTGTTTAAAAAAAATGAAAAGTATTAATTATCAATTGAAAAATACCTTATAATTATATTATTTATTATTTATTAGTTGTTTTCTATCACAAATTAAAATCTATTAATTAACCTTATTAATCATTCATTGATATTCTTTAGCTAACATTTCATTTTCACAATATTTTTAACAAAAAGAAAAAAGAAAAATTAATTAATTAATTAATTAATATTTGATAATATAATCACACAGTAAATGTTTTTTTTTTGTTTAAAAAACAAAAAAAAAAAATGTGAAATTAATTTATCTAATTCATATTAAACTAATTAATTACTAAAATTAAATAATTTATATTTTAAAAGGTTTGAAAAACAAAAAGTAACAAAGAAAATGTTTAACTTACTGAGACATTGAAATATCATTGTTAATATACAAATGCAATGGATAAGGAAGTTGAAATTGTTCGTTTTGCTTTTCCTCTGATACTAAATTGCTTCCTTTTGAATGCTTATAATCCGTATTATCAGAGATTGATGCAGCCGGAAAACTGATTACGTATTCCGGATGCTTGTAATCCAATATTATATGTCGTTTTCCGCACTGATTCGTTATTGTTTGATGATTTATTGACTGGGATGATGATGATGGTGATGATGTTGACGTCAATGATGATGATAAGGATGATGATGATGATGATGATGATAATGGCAGTGAAAGTGATAATGGTGAGGAAACGAGTGAAGATAGGATTAATGGTGATAGTGATAAGGATGGTGATAAAGTGATAATATTCATATTGTTGATTATCATCAAGAAATGAATGATAATGTTAATTTTGTTAGGAAATAAAAATTCAAACATCAATTTGATTTCACAGAATAGCAATAATAGCTTTATCAGTAAATAATAGTAATTAAAAATACAATTTCCTTCTCTTTTTTTTTTCTCCTTTGATTTGATTTGTTTTTTTTTAAATTAAAATGAAATAATTTTGCAGAATAAATAATTAATTAATTAGTAATAATTGATAATAATTTATACTTCAAAATATAAACAATTCATAATACAGTTTTGCTAAGATAATTTTTTTTTTTTTTTTTTTTATTGCTTAGCAAATTAATTAAAGAATAAGAAAGAAAAATGGAAAAACAAAAAAAAAAAATTGAGAAAATTTTTTTTTTTTTTTGGAATAATTTCAGAATTTAATTAATTAAATAATTACAAATTCTTTTTTCTTTTTCGTTTTAACGTAATAAAATTTAATTCTTTCCTTTTTCTTCCAGCATTTTCATTCAGAATTTCATTAATACCAATTCAATATCACATCGTTTCTGAAATTTTATAAATTCAAAACAAAAACGAAAAAAAAAAAAAATATTTTGTTAGAATGAAGAAAGAATGAAAATATCGATTAAAACATAATAAAACTCATCCGTTATGGGCGGTAATTACTGAAATTTTTAGAATAAGCAAAATCGGGAGAGAGAGAGAGAGAGAGAGAGAGAGGGAGAGAGAGAGGGAGAGAGAGAGGGGAAAAGAAAGAATATATTTGAAAAGGAAATAAAAACATCTGCGATGATACATTTAAAATTCAAATTATTATTTTTTGGTGTAAAAAAAAAAAAAAAAAAATTTTTTTTTATTGTTTATATGTAAGAATAAATTACATTGAAATAATTTAAAATGGAAAAATATTAGCGAAAAGCTAAAATTGAATAAACGAAAGGAAAAATTTTAAAAAATTTAACTTTTGAAATATTAATAAAAGATTAATTTTATTAATAGCTATTCATTTGATCCGAAAAAAAGAGCAAAAAAAAAAAACGATGAAATGATCATTTTAAAATTTAGAAAAAAAAAAAGGAATTTATAAAATTAATTATAAAAAAAAAAAAATGGAAAGATAAAATTCCCAAATTATGATAATCCTTTAAAAAATGTCAAATTGATCATTTTATGAGTCATTAATTCAATAGCAATTTAAAATTATTTGAAAGCAAATGAATAGTATTTGTTTTTTTTTTTTTTTTATTTTAAAATTAATAAAAAAATGAGTTATTATAAATTAATTATTCAATTTTAATCCAATCAATTATACGAATATTCTTTTTTTATTTTTAAATAAAAATTGGAGGAAAAAAAAAATTGTTTACTACAAATATTTATTTTTGATAAATTTTTTAATGATATGTAAATTTAAAAATTATATATTGCATAATATAATATTGTTAATATAAAAATTTGTAAAGAAAATTTTATTTGAAAAAAAAAAATAAATAAAAAATAAAAATTTATTAAAAATATAAATTTATCAACAGACCAAAAAGTTATTTATTTGAGTGTTACAATGCTTTTCCTTATTTTTCATACTTTTCATAGATTAATTGATTAATTAATTAATTAATTATTTTTTGGTAATACTATCAATTTAACAAACATTTTTTTTTCTAATTGAATTTCTTCAATTAATCTACTAATTCAATTAATAAAATTTAAAAAAAAATGAAAAGCTAAGCACAATATTTGTGGAAAAATGCTTGATTACATAATTTATGATAGAAATTTCATTAAATTTATAAATTTTTAAAAAAATAAAAAAATGTAATTTATAATTAATAATTAAAATATAATTAAAAATAACATAAGATTGCATATAAATTGCAAAAAAAAAAGTTTGGATAAATCCTTGGTAATTGTTAAATTTTTTTTTTAAATTTTAGTTAAAAGTTACTGCAATATTTCTTTTAAAAAAAAAAATTAAATTTTTTTTTTTTTTTTTTGCATCTCTCTTCTTCACTTCAAAAATTATAATAATGATTTTCATGAAAGTTTAAATGTGACAATGATTGCCATAAAAATTTTAATATTATGATAATGTTTATCATAAAATAAAAAATATGATAGAAGGAAAGAAGGGCAAAGCACAAAAAAACAAAAACGAAAAAAAAAAAATAAAATAAAATAAAAAGTAAATAAAGATGGAAAATAAAGATAAATGTATGTATATTGATTCATCATTTAAGAATAATAAACATTACAATATAAAAAAAAAAAACTAAATTTTTTTCATTTTTTTTTTTAATTAAAAATTTAAAATCAAAAAAGGAAAGTAAGAAATAAAAATGAAATTAATGAATTTTCATGGCATCAATGAGGGAAAAATTTTAAATTTTACTATCATTTGAAGGCAAAATAATTTAATTATAATGAAACAATGCTGTTCGAAATTTTATGTTTCTTTCTTTTTTTTTTAATTAAATTTTTTTTTATTAAAAAAAAGATACAATAGAGAAAAAACATTTGTAAATTTTATTTTGCTACTAATAGTTTCAATGTTTTTTTTTTTATTATTATTAGTAATTTAATTTAATCATATTTATTTAAATAATAATTCTTATATTCTCAAAATTTTAAATGCCTAGAATTTTTCAAAAAAAAAAGGTTTTTTTTTTCAAGCTGATCATTACCCATCATTGTTAATTTTGCTAATTTGTGCAAAAAATTTGTGTCGAGAACGATGTCGAGAATTGATATCTTTTTTTTTTCTTTCGCATTTTTTACTTATTTAAAAAGGAAAACAATCCTCTAAATTCCTTATATCTATTTGACTAATTTAAATTTCACTTTTTTTTTTTTTTTGAATAAACTTTTCTAGCACTTACCATTTTGTCACTTTGCTTTAATATTTTATTTATACAATTGCCAAAAGTAAATGAAAATTAATTTATTATTAATTAAGTTAAGCACATTTTTACTTCAATTTAGCAAATGCATATTTAAATTTCTTTTAATGTCTAATTTTAAACTAAAAATTCAGACATCGAAATTCTCTGCTAACTTTATTTTTCAACCTTTTTTCATACAACCTGGCAAATTTAATGATTTACTTAGTTGCAATTTATTTCACAGCAAATTTTTACACCAAAAACTTTTTTTTTTTTTGTCAGTCAGAAAAAAAAAATGACACAAAGTCAAAAAAATGAATATAACAATATCTTTTTCTATTATCATTCACTCTTTTATCATTTCATTTTATCACTTCTAAAAATGAAATTCATTGGTGAAAAAACAAAAATGACAAATGACGTCAAAAACAAAAAGAAAAAAATAAATATTTTTAAAAAATATTCAAAAGAAAAAGTTTTCGTTTTTATTGAATAAAATTTAACAAACAAACAAACAATTCTTTTTGTAAATTTTTTTTTTAATTTTAAGTGAAATTATAAAAATTGTCGCCTTGAAATGATAATTAAAAACGATGGATGGGCAAAAATTTTCACTGATAACAACAATATTTTGAAACAGTAATTCTTTTTCAAAAAAAATTTTTTCTCCAATTTTTTGTAATTTGCGCAATCTTATCGAAATCTTTTTTTTTTTTTTTGTGAAAGAAAAGGTTATTTGTTTGAAAAAAATTTTTTTTTATTTTATCATTAAGAGATAATTATTATTGATTATATCGATGATATCATTAAAATATATCAAATGGAATGCAATTGGCATATTTATTTAATAATAATAAAGTTTGTGGGATATGAATTATTTTTATTGTAAAAATAATTGATTCTCATGAAAATAAAATTAATTTTTGTTCGAAAGATGCATATTTTATGAATGCGAAAAAAAAAATATATTTTAATTAGTTTAATTAATAATTTTTTTTTTTTAAATTCCATTTAGAAAATAACAAACTCGAATAATGATTGAAATTTTATAACAAATTCATTCCTTTTTTTTTCTTTTGTTTGTTTAAAATATATTTATTAGAAATAGTAATTTTTCTTACTTTTTTGCCCTTTTCTTTACAACATTACTTATTGTTGTAAAATTTAAAAATGAAAAAAAAAATTTTTTTGTAAAAGTAGAAAAAATTGAATATTTTAGTAAAACGTTAATTAACAATTTAGTGCATTTGTTGTGAACAAACAAAAAGGATAATTTTTCAAAGTTTAATTTTTTAAATACTTGAAAAAAAAAAAGAATGTATTATTAAAATATATTACCAAAATAAGTATATTATTAAAATATGAATAATACAAAAATTTTATTCTGTATTTTTTGGTATAATTATAAAAAACACAAATTATTGATTGATTTATTTATTGGAAATTTACTGATTTGTTTTAGTTAAATCAGTAATTTTATAATTTAATAATTGATGAACATTCATTCTATCATCATATCATTATACATAGACAATTAATATTAATTTTAATGATTATAATTAATTAGAAAAATACAAAATAAAATTTATTAGATTCATATATTTTCATTATTTTAATTATATCTAACTAATTTTATTGAAGTTTATTTCTATTATTTCAAACATAAATTTTTTCACTTTTATTTCGAACATTTTTTTTTTAAGTGTACGAATTTACTATAAAAAAAAAAATTGGAAATTAGCAAATTAATCATTTTGTATAATTCATTTAAAAAAAAAAAAAAAAAATTGTATGATTATGATATATAGAAGAAAATATTTAACTTACTGAAACAATAAAATATCATTGTTAATATACAAATGTAATGGATAAGGAAGTTGAAATTGTTCGTTTTGCTTTTCCTCTGATACTAAATTGCTTCCTTTTGAATGCTTATAATCCGTATTATCAGAGGTTGATGCAGCCGGAAAACTGATTACGTATTCCGGATGCTTGTAATCCAATATTATATGTCGTTTTCCGCACTGATTCGTTATTGTTTGATGATTTATTGACTGGGATGATGATGATGATGATGATGATGTTGACGTCAATGATGATGATAAGGATGATGATGATGATGATGATAATGGCAGTGAAAGTGATAATGGTGAGGAAACGAGTGAAGATAGGATTAATGGTGATAGTGATAAGGATGGTGATAAAGTGATAATATTCATATTGTTGATTTAAGTAGTATTAATTGATAATAATTTATATTTCAAAATATAATCAATTCATAATACAGTTTTGCTAAGATAATTTTTTTTTTGTTGCTTTTTTTTTTTCAAAATTTTAAATTTTATCATATCATAATCATAATCATACAATTTTAAGAAATTAATTTAAGAAATTAATTGAACATAATTAGTAACTGATATATTCCTTTTCAAATTTTTGTTAAAAAAAAAACAAAATTAAAATCAATGACGGTGAAAAGAAAGGAAGAGAGAAATGAAATGAAATGAAATGAATTATTGAATGCTATTAAAACATCGAAAATGATGATCATTTCGCCGAGAAAATATTTCAACGGTCAAATTTACAAAATAATAAAAATATTTTGCAATTAATCAAAAATTAAACTTTTATTGATGCTTATCACAGCTGACGCTAACATTTATCATTTTGCATCAAATGCAGCATGCAAATAATAACAATAATCTATCAGATTTTTCAAATAAAAAATTTTAAATTTAAAATGCTTTAAAGCAAACAATGAGATAAACATATAATCGTCAAAATTTGATGAAATGAAAAAGAAAAAATATTAAATAAATATGAATTAATCAATTTTAATCAAACTTATGATTCAAATGAATATGAAAGTTTTTTTTTTTCTTGAATTTTTGACAATTTATTTTATTTTCTAATTATTTAACAAAAAAAAACAATAAACAAATGTTTACAAAAAAAATGGATTATTCATAAAAACATTGAAATTTTTTGATTGCTAATGAAATTAGAATATTTTAAAACTTTTTTATCTTCTTTACTCGAAAAAAAAAATCAAATTTAAATTCATGAAATAATGAAAAAATTTCACTCGTTACTTATTTAAATATTATTTAATACAAATTACAAATGTTCAAGAGAAGTTTGTTTTTTTTTTTACTTTTTTTGAATTGATTTGAAAAAAAAGAAAAACGAAATAAATTTCAATTTACTGAAAATTTGTAGTACCATTTACAAAATTAAATAATAGAGCAATAATAGATTTTTATTAGCATAATAGCAAATTTTCCATCAAATTATTTTTGAAAAATCAAAAAACAATTTTGAATTAATTAATTTCAAATTTAAACATTGTACGTTTATTTAACTTACACACAAAAGTAATTGGATAATGTATAATAATGTTTATTGATAATATTCAAATCTTGAATTAAATTTTTTTTTTAAAAAAAAAAATGCGAAACTTTATAATTTACATTTTACATTATAGGATAGAAAAGCAACGGAAAGGATAAAAATTTTTTTCATTTTTAATCAGTGCACTTTTTTTTTTAAGTTAATTATTTGAGAATATTTGAAAATTTGGCAGAGTAATAATAAATTCAGTAGCTGTTTAACTAAATTTAATAATGATAGTTTAAAAAAAAAAAAAATTAAGAGCTAAATTCCGATATGCTAAAAAATTCAATGAAAGTAATAAATTTATAATTCAAATAAATTACCAAATATGGAAAGCAAATTGATGAATTAAAATTTTTAATTAGTTGATGGTTAATTATAAAATAAAATCATCAAATATTAACAATATACTACATCATATATGCTTGATTTTTTTTTTTTTTTTTGAAAAAAAAGTTTGGTAAAAATGAAAATTGAAAATTTTATTTATAATGAAAATAATTTCCGTTCTGTTAATGTGTTGTGTAAGAAATTTTTCCAAAAACTAATTATTTCTAAGATTATTTTCTAAAAGTTAAAAAAAAAAAACATAGCGTAATGCAATCCCTTAACTGATTTTTTTTCTTGAGAAAATCATTTCTGAATTTTTTTTCACTTATTTTTTTAAAAATTTTATTAGATTTCAAAATTACATTAAATTAATGAAATGATAGTAAGAGTTAAAAAGGATAATGTATGACATATATTAAATATCTGATAATTAAACACTTAAATTGACTACACTTTGATAATTAAATACTTGAATTGACTAAATCAGTATTTGAATTAAACTTTTGATATTTAGATCATTTCAAAAACAGATAATTTGTTTAACAAAATTTTTGAGTAAAAAATGAAATGGTTTGTTTGATCAATCATTTCCGATATATTAGTAAGTTCTGAAAGAATTAATTGTGCATTATGTATAATTACATTTTAATGAAATACTTATTATGAAAATAATAAAGTTAATAATAAAAATATGCATATGCCTCATTTCTTTTCATATCAATTAAATCTACGATGCTAATTTTTAAAATTATTTAAATTTACTTAAAAGTAAGAAAATTATTATGCATAATTGCGTATTATAGTTCAGATAATAAATATAGTAAATATTCATCTAATCTGAAATTTCAAATAAACGTTTTACATTTTACAAATTTAAAATTAAAATTGAAATAAAACTGCAATACTATCGTGAACGTCAACTGTTTTAAATTATCTGTTACTTACATCATTTCATGTTAACAACTTCAAATTAGTTTCTTAAGATGCTTTAAGCAACGAAATATCATTTAATTAGATGCTAATAGTAATTATATTTTGCTGATATTAAAGCGAATTTTGTTTATTCATCAAAGAATTCATCGATTTCACATTAAACAAACAAACATCCAATACCAAATATAATTTTTAATTGCCAACTTTTGTTATGCATATTCAAAATACAAATACATCAATTCTATATATTCTCAACAAATCGTTGCCATATTTTAAAAATTAATTTAATTTAAATTTAAAGCAAAGAAAAAAGGTCAATTTAAAAGAAAATTTTTTGAAAGATAAAAACAAAAACAAAAATATAAATGAAATGTGGGATTTAAATTTTTTTAAAAAAAATAAAAGATAAAAAGGAACGAGTGGTATCATACAAATTTGAATTGAAAAGTAAGTGTAGCAGAAGGTTTTAGGGGAACGAAAAAAATATTTATTGTTTATGCAAGATTTCTTTTCATTTGTTAAGCTTTTAATAAATTTTTAATTTTGGTGATTATGAAATTTTATGATAAGTTAATTTAACTGATACTGTTAAGGTTAATTGTTTGAGAAATTGACATTGAATAAAATTATCATTGAGAGAAAACACATTATTATGATAACAGTGCAGGAGGGAAAATCTTTATCAATTTGAATATCAAGTAGGTTGAATTGAAATTTCAGAAAATTTCTAAAATTTATTAAAAACATTTCACTTGAAGTAACAAAAATTTTAATCAAAAAAAAATAATGAATAAATAAATAAATAGATAAACAAAAATAAAATGAAGTAAACAATTCAGACAAATATTAATAAGCAAACGAGCGTATAAATGAGTAAATAAGGAAACAAATGAACAAATAAACAAATAAATAAGCAAACAATCAGATAAATAAAATGCAATCAATCCTATAGAGTAAATTTGGATTGTCATAAAAAACATTTACTTTTGTACTATTCACATCAAAGGTAAAAAATAGCAGATTTTTTTTTTTAATTGAATTGCAAATTGATTAAATAAAAATTTTTTATAAAACTTTTTATTTTTTTTTATAAAACTTAAAAATTTTTTTTATTTTTTTTATACATTTTTTATATTAAAAAATTTTTGAATTCAATTCTTATGCATACAATAATAAGAGACAAACGTAATAAATTTAATAAAAATTGCACTATAAAACTGAAATAGTTTAACAAATATCGAAAAAAAAAAAAAAAAATTTGAATGATACAAATCGAACAGTGTCACCGTCGTGTCACAGATGAAAAGTTAAACTGATAATGCATAAGGTTTCATTTATATTTAATGAGATCGAATTTCACAATTAATCAGTTTCTTTCTTTTTTTTTTCTTTCATTTCATCAAATTTAAATTTCAATACAAAATTATAATTATATATGACTAACAATAAATTCATTTATTACATTTATTTGATACATTCATTCAAATATTTGTTTGCAATAAATGAATGAAAAAAGAATAATTGTATTATAAACTTGAAGTAATATTCATCTGTTCCCTTCCCTTTAATTTAAATTTTTAATTGTTATTACTAATTTTTCGTTTTATTTTTCTTGCATTCTTAATTAGTAATTTAACTTTATCTCTCCGTTTTCTACATTCATCAATTCTAATTAAATTGCTCTCTGAGGTTTGATTACTTTGTGAATTTTTAATTATCAAATGTTATTTATAAAATTTTTCAAAAACTTTTAAATAATTCAAATTTTTTCAATGAAATGCCTTTCTTTCTTTGATTGCCTTTCTTTTTATTTCTTGAATTCTCCATTTTAAAACTTGTCCAACCTTATAATTAATTATCTTAATAATATTACAAAAAATTTTTAGGTTTCTAAATAATCACTATAAAATGCTGAAATTAATTATGCGAAATGGAATTAAGCTTATCTTTTGGCGCAAAAATTTAAAATCAAAAAAAAAAAAAAACTAAAATTTATTTCACTTTTTGCCAACATTTGGCTAAACTAATACTACTAATTACTAATAATAATTTTTGCCTCCAATCAGTCAATCAATCAATCAATCAATCAATCGATAAATCAATAATTGATATCAAATCAATTCATACAATAGAAAATATTCCCTCAACTGAATTATTTCAATCGATAGCAAATGACAAAATCAATTTGACAATTCAAATATTCTCTAATCAATCGATAATCAATATCCACGACAATCAAATGCTCCGCCAACCAATCGATAATTCACATTGCATTGGCACATTTCCAGCACTTGTTCTGCATCTCTCATATTCTCTTCCATCGTATACTCACAATACTATTTCGCCATTGCTCTCACTCTATGCTGTTAAAATTGAGTTGAAAGCGAAATGTCTCATTTCCAATATGAACAAGGCATCTTTCGACCGATACTAACAAATTTTCAATCAATTTCCCTATTTTCTTCCTCTTTTTTCAATTTTAAATTTCAAATTCAAATTTTTTTTTAAATTCAAACTCTCAATAGATGGAAGTTAGAGTTAATTTGATGAGCAAATTTAGATTTCATAGTCTAAATTTCAAATTAAAAGACTTAAATAAAAATTTGAAACTTCCTTCCTAAATTAGAATTTTGATGGATTTCATCTGAGACAATAATCTTATTTCATCCACTGAAATGAGATTTGAGTGGTAAAGACGGTAAGCAATTACAAATGAGTACGATGTGACAACGTGAGAAAGCACTTATTTACCCGCGGGAAAAGATGATAAAAATAAGTGTAGGAGAGATATTTCAAACATACAGAGGAAGAAATGTGCTAAATTGATACAAAGGGAAGAAAAAGCCCGAATACAGTAAGATTACGAATTCATTTATGCGGGGTATTATGAAGTTGGCCATTTCTACCGTAGCTTTCAAATTTTTATCATCAATTTGCTAGCTTGTGGGTTTTCATTATGAAATATTATAATTTTAAAATTTAAATTCATTATGAAATATTATAATTTTAAAATTTAAATAAAATTTCAAGTCTGGCTTCTTTTCATTTTTTTTTCTGTTTTGATTAAAACATCTTATTGTTAAGTATAAACTGATGAATTCTGATTTTGATTTTTTATTTTAAAAAATTCTAATTTTGATTCTTTTGTTATAGGTATGGAAACAAAAAATGCTTCACAGCAGAAAATTTGTCGAAAGCGTGTGGTGACAAAGAATGAATTAAAAAGGGTTAGTGAAATAATCACATATACATATGGATATATATGGAATTCATACGTGATGAAATTTCCTTTGTGCTTTTATTTATTTAAACTTTTCTTAGAACTGCAATGCAAAGGAAACAAAAATTTTATTAGGGTGAAAAAATATTTCTGTTGATTGTATTTCAGATTTTGACATATTATACTTCGCAGCTACCATGTGTCACTGAAGCTTGTAAAGTGGAAAAACGTGAATTAAATTCCTTGGTTAAAAACCTTCAGGAGGAGATCCGCGCTAAGGTTCAAATTTGACTGAATATCGAAAAAAATTTCGTATCATTATTTCGAACTTTTGCCGAATCAAAAGCAAGTGTGAATGATTACAGGAAAGCAACGGCAAAATTTTCGACATAAATTCGTTGTAATAACTAATTTACGCTTTAATTTACTGTTAGTTTCAAAGTTATCTTCAAATTTTACAGGATGCATCAATTAAAACTTTACGTGAAAATTTATCAACATTAAGGCTTGCAATTCGAGAATTCAGTTGCTTCATCGCTAGCAATCATCCCGGAACAAAGGTAAATCTTTCTATTGAATTAAAATATCTTTCTTTTATTGGTTATTCCTAATCCTCGATAGTTTTTTTTTACTCTATCATAAGGTGATAGCAATAAAAACAAAGTGTTAAGTGCATATTATAGATGTTAAAATGAGCGGTCTCATATTAAATCGTGCAAAATATCTCAGCATATATCGTAATCAATGAGCGCGTAATGCTTATATTCTAAGATTTTCGTAGTTATGTCTTCAGAATCGTAAACTGATCGACACTGATGTTGTATATTATCATTCTCAGTTGTACTAACCCGTAATTGTTTAATGAACTTCGATGTAAGGACAAACAATAATTTCATCAGTGATAATTAAAAAGTTTACTTTTGTTGATATTCCTGTGCCATTGTTCATTTCATTGTTTCACTAGCAGTTAACATTTTAGATTGCTACAGCAGCTCGAATATGGGAAAAACGGTGGAAAGCGGAAAATGAAGAGGGATTATGGAATATAGCAAAGTCACCAATAGTACAATCGGCAATGAGTCGCCATCGGTCTACTAAACTGAATGCATCATCTGTTGAAAACATTTCCACTGCCAATACTACACAGCCTGAAAAGGCACAGTTTGTTTCATCGCAGCAGAATAATACATTTCATGAATTTGCACGGAAGAATGGTTAGTTTTGTTTTTAGATTTAAATATTAAAGCAAAATAAATAAAATATGAGTAATAAAAAATTTGAAAAAATTTTCTTACATAGTTTTCTTAACATTTTCTCTTTATTTAGTGTCAAGGAAAAAATATAATTATAATTTTTCTTTACTGTAAAAAATATAATTTTTCTTTTACTGTATAATTTCATCATAATCTGTTTTGATTCCGAATGAATTCTAAAAATTCTTGTAAGAAAATGTCATCGTGTTAAATCTTTTCATTTCAGCGACAGCAGTATCACGTGTAACTAATTCGAGCATTTCACGTAAATCGTCAACAAATTTAAAGCAGGTTAGTTCATCATCTCTTTCAACTTCAACTAATAAGGGTAATTCTTCAATGCCAAAAAATCAGTCAGTGGCAACAGCTAAGGATAATTCTTCAACGCCAAAAAATCAGTCAGTGGCAACAGCTAAGGATAATTCTTCAACGCCAAAAAATCAGTCAGTGGCAACAGCTAAGGATAATTCTTCAACGCCAAAAAATCAGTCAGTGGCAACAGCTAAGGATAATTCTTCAACGCCAAAAAATCAGTCAGTGGCAACAACTAAGGATAATTCTTCAACGCCAAAAAATCAGTCAGTGGCAACAGCTCATGTTTTAATTACTGTGAATCAGCCGTTGAATTTGGCTATGTCATCGGTTGCTAATAATCATATTTTGATGCTAACGAACTCCCAGTGTAAAACTACAGAGACTAACAATTCATTACAAATAAATGGACAAGGTATGACTTTTTTATTAACTGATTTGCTTGTATATGCTAATCAAACTTTTGCTGGAATCATCTTCCATTTTCTTGTATTTCCTTCTGGAGTCTTTCAAATTTAGCTTAATTAAGTTTACCTGATATTATTAAATTTCATTTTTTTGTAAGCTCTCACTAATTTTCTATGCTGAACTGTATAAGAAAGGAATAGGAAATGAAAACGACGTTTTAGACACTGTTTAATTTAGTAGTAATCTTGCATAACTTTTTTGAAATCCCATTCTATAAATGATCGATGATATAAGGAAAAGTAATTAAAGCATAGTATTTTGATCTGAAGTTTTACTACTTTGTATTTAGTCCCACTAATAATAGGCGAAAACTTAGTTACAGGAGCCTAATTACAGTATATTTTTTATCGTAATAGGATAGAGGTTGATTATTTGCATTTTCAAAATTATTCAAAGTGTCTCAGCATTGTTATTTGGGAGATTATTTATTTTCATTTTTATTATTTTGATTTCTTAATGATAAATTGATGAGCAAATGTGAGGTTTAAAATTGCTTTTTGATTTGATAAATAGATGATAAATTCAGACAAATGAAAGTGAAATTATCGATTTAATTCCAGCAAGTATTTTATTACCAGAGTTATTTAGAAACTGATTCGATGATGTTTCTTTGTAATACCTTGATGAATTATAGCTTGAAACAAAGTACTAAGCTACAATTCATCTAATTTTTACATAGGGACATTACTGATCATACTTGCTTCCAGATCGAGAATAAGAGTATCTTTGATGAGCGCTGCTTTGTTGCTACAGTCTTACTTCATTTCGTGGCTTTTATTTTGTATTTTGTAGTTTTATCATTAGTATCGTGTTATTTGAGTTGAATTATAGAGATAATGGAAAATGTTTTATATCAGTAACCAATCTTGAAACTAAAAACGCTAATTGCTAGAATTTTTGCCTCAAAAGTATCCTATTTTTTAGATATCGATCATTCCTCGACAGTTAGATATTTAAGATTGAGTAGTGCGAAAACAAAGCGTAAAAATCCTAGTGAACCAGTTGGCACTAAAAAAATTCAAAGAAGTGAAACTGTTAGTGATGTGATTGTACTTAGCGATGATGAAAGTAATGAAATAGTGGATATTATTCCAGTAAGTTTTTAAATAGTTTTACTAATTTTTCAGATAAAATCTTAATCGTTTCATTAGGAAAAGCAATTGTTAATTTATCACGGTTTTTATGAGTTTCGAAAAAGATTCCTTAATGTTTTGATTAGGCTTTTTCATATTTGAATAATGTTTGTGACTTTTCTCATTGTCGGTTTATGTGAGTTGTTGAAATTACTTGCTAAACTGTTTGAGATAATTTATGTGCATGCATAGTTGCGAATAAAGCTCAATTAGAGTTGAAGGAAAATGGAAGCAAATGACACTGTAAATTATCTAGGAAAAGTATTTTCCTTAGTGAGGAAAAAAAAAAATGATTTGGAAACGAGTAACTGTTAAGATTATATTTTGAAAATTTGCAGAGAGTTGCATTACTAAAAACGAATGTAAAAATCTAAAAGAAACGAATCAAAATCATGCATATTGTAGAATACTAAAAATTTTTTTTAGGAAGATATAGTTACAATACCTCGTTATGATTCAATAAATTCACTACGTTGCAAAAAATCTCATCCATTAGTATATCCTAGGCTAAGGATTTATCCAGGTTTACGTATATCACGCCTTCATATTACATGGTTAAATTCATTTGAAGGTTTGTTTTTTTTTCAACATATATTCACTCACTTTAGCAATGATTATAAAAGCGAATTTAATAATGACAATAAGTTCAATCATCTTTATATTTTATAATCACTATAATGTCAATGAATACTTTTTTTTCTCCAGTTATTAACAAAATTTAGTAAATAATGATAGTGATTATCATCCAGTTACAGATATAACAAAGACAAAATATATTATACTAAATGTTCAATATGCTGGTGAATACTCGAAACAGGTTGTTAAATTACATCATAACATATCATAGACTATTATATATATCTTGGACTATATATGTAATATCATTGAATTTTATTTAAATAGTTCATTATGACCGCTAATGTAGATCTTTCTTGGGTTTTCTATGAAAACATTTTCAATGCATCAGTTAATATCCCCGTGTAATCCGCTTGTTAAAAGAATTAACGTTAGGGTGAATTTTTCCTGCAAAAAAGTGATGATATGATTAATTCCGCCATATTTAGTTCTGTTATTCACCATTTTTCCCAAACAAGGTGTTTCTTCATTCTTGTTTAAATTACGTACACTAAATAAATGCTCAAAATTAGGACTTATCTGTAATTTGTTTAATTTATTAATTTTAGAAGTCGCTCATCAAATTATTTCAGTTTGTTTTATGAGTTTTATGAATTATCTTCTTTAAGTTTCAGATTTTTCATATTTTGTATTATATACGATCGATGGTTGAAAGAGAGGAAGCTAAAGGATGGATAAGGATTTATTCAAAGGAATGTGTTGCTAGCGGGAAGAGTCGATTACGGATTCAATTTGATGATGGTAAATTTTTGAGACGCTTAGTTTTTTTTTTTTTGATGAAGTTGGTATGGTATTTCAAACTAAAGTAGTATAATCGGCAAATATCTTTTTCCTCATACCGATATAAATCTTTGATTAAGATACATTTGGAATTTTGCTGAAGATTTATAAACTGAAAGAAGTTTTCTGTTTTTTAGATCAGACTTGGTTCAATGATGCAATCTATTTTACTGGATTTATCGAGTGTGGTTTGGAGAGATATGGTGCATATGCGGATGTATGCAAAGTGGAATTGGGTTCACAGAATAAACAGGTACTTATTTTTTCATTCAAATCATTGTCGCACTAACATTTAAAATTATTTTTTGTTCTTTTAGATTATTTTTGTTTTATTTTTGCATATGCGAGATATGGTTTAGATAATTGAACTGATTTAATTAATTGAAATAATCAAATTGTTAGTATTACGATTATTTCATTTTTTTTAATTTTTCCAGGTGCCAAATAATTTTACAAGACGTCACTGGCCATAGTCTACGACATATCACTGCCACGGTTACATTTTGAGAAGTTTACCAGCTATCATTCGATTAGATGTCAGATTTTTTTTTCTAATCTCCAAGATACCTGCTAAATAATATGTAATTAGGTTTCATTGATGTTTATAACTTTTTAGCGATGCGTATAGTGAGTAAATCAGTCATTCAAATTTTTAAACTTTAGATATATATTTTTGACATTCACTTCTTTCTAAGCTAGTAAGTATTTGCATTCAGCATATTGCATGCTGCTAATTTTTAACTTCTTTAGTTCATTAGAAGCTTCCACAGATGTTTTTTTTTTTCTTTTTAATGAATATTTAAAATCATCTTTATGATGAATTAACTGCTAATGAAATTTGTGGTTTTTCATTTTTGAGCTTCTAATAGAACCACTAATTGGATAGATTAATGGACAAAGTTAATGATTTCCTGAAATCCTTATCTATGTACTATTGAGAAGATACATTGATGCGTTACTGATTATGTTCAATCAATAGGAGTCAATTTGTATAAGCATGTATTTATAAATTTATAGTTTATTTTTTGATTTTATAGTTTATATGAATGCTTATTGCTATTTTTCTATAGCAAATTTTTGCTCAAAAAAAAGTTTTTTTTTTTTCAAATTATGAGTGATGAGAGTTCATTTGCTTTCGAATAGGTGACAGAAGAATTAACAAATGATAGTCACCTTTATAAAATTAGAAAAAAAATTGTTTTATTTATTATTAGAAAATTAAAAAAAAAGTGTTGTCAGTAAAATTATTAGAAAATTATTTATTCTTTATAAAATTATTGTACATTTTATGATACAAAATTTTTTCAGTCTTATTTTCTCAAACTTTTCATTGTGTTAAATTTGTAGAAAGGACTGATATATGTGTTTATTCATGATAGTGATTCAGATAAATTGTAATATTGCCAAAAAAACAAGAATAATTGGTGCGATTTCAATTCTAATATGGACATGAAGTTTTATTTTCACTATAAATATAGAAAAAAAAGAAAAGAGAAAAAAGGAATGAAATAAGGAAGTTATAATTTTAGATGCTGTTAGATAATTTAATTGAATTCGATTAGAAAAAGACTAGCAAACAATTTTGGTGCTAATTTTTAAAATCTTTCGCTTCCAGTTTTAATTACTATTTGTATTAGAGTGGGCTTTCCTCTTTTTTTTTTTGTTTTATGATGGCAAAAGTGGTCAATATTGTCGCAATAAACTTTGATTCATATTTTTTGATAGGTAAATTCATAATTTTCATAACTCATTTAAACTTCGTGCCTTACTGAATCGCATGAAGTTAAGTAATTGCATAAAGTTAAGGATGCTAAATTAAATCTTTACTTGTTTTAACTCTAAAATCAACATTGATTGAAAGTTTTAATTAGCGAAAGAAGAAAAGGAGTTTGCTGCCTTATATAGTATTATAATTTTTTGATGAAACTTATCATTTCATAAAAATATACGTCTAAATTTAAACCAAAACAAAGTCATAAATAATGATAAATTGAATATCATTCTCGATTTGCATATCTTTTAGATGTTGAAAAAGGCATAAGTTGTTGAGAATACAATGCTTAAAGATAAGAATGCAATTAAGTTTTCACTAAAGTAAGACGAATTATGATTACTTCTACATTTCTTTTCGAGTATTAAATGAAAATTGGTATGAAAGTAATGAAAATTTAAAAGTTTTTTAATAAATCTTTGTATGGTTTTTCATTTTTTTTTTTGTCAAATTTCAATGTTATGTCATCTCTATTTAAAGAATTAAATTCTTTTTATTAAATTTGAATGAATTTAATTATCGATTTTGAATTAGCCAATGACCAAATGAATTTAATTTTAGTGCTATAAATTATTGATACTATCTTTTTTATTCTTGATAAATCTTTAACAAAATTATTCTATAATTTTAATCCAAAAGTTTTGAAAAAGGTTGAAAATTTACAAATTTTTGCTCAAAAATTTTTCAAAAATGTTGGCATAAATTAAAAAGATATCTGATTAGTGACGAATGTTGAATGAGAAATTTTTTTTTAAATTTTTTTTTTTCTTTTGCATTATTTTTTTACAGAACTGATTGATATATTTCAGAACTATTACTCTTACTTATTGAACTCATATTTACTTATTTAAGTTAAATTCCAAAAATTTCGGAATATCTTCCAGAATAAATTTCTTCCAATGTTAAAATATTGTCAACGTTTAAATTGTTTGTTTCTGAAAATTTTTTAAATTAATTACAATCATAAATTTGAATTCAAAAATTTCTTCTACATGCGAAATTTTCATATAGCCATTAATAACGACTATTCATTCAAAGTGTGGAAATAATTATTATAATTTTATTACAATTAATACTTTTAATGGAACAATAACAAATGTAGTAGCAAATGGATGATGTTCAGTAATTATTATTGATAATTCATTTCAGTTAATTGAATTATAAACTTATCAGATATTTGTGTGGTAGTTTTGTTTACAATAATTGTACTAATAACAATTTCATTAAGGAACAAAAACTAATATTATAATTGTTGAATGGTATAAATTTATAAAAATATTAAGCAAATAATTGTTTACTATATCAATAAATTAGCTCATAGATAATTTTTTATTAAACTAACTCAAATTCTCAAATAATCTTTTCTCATCTTAGTTTATAATTGATCAAAGTATCAAATGATAATTATTTTTTTTTTTTTATTAATTATTTTACAATAAATGTTATAATTTGATTTTTTTTTTAAACTAACATTTTAAATTGCTTAAAATAAAATTAGCAAATTTAATTGGTGGCAGATAAAAAAAAAAAATTGTTAATTAAATTTATTTACTTATTTTGCTATATTTGTTAAAGAAATCTTTAATTCATTACAATGAATGAAATCTCAGGAGATTTTAATGCTTTCTATGATAATAAAATGAATAAAATTGAAAAATGAAACTACTATTGCAACATATTATATTATTTAGTATTAGTAAGTAATTAATTTTATAATTTTATTAAAAAAAAAAAAAAAAAAATTTAAATTAGCAAAATGTTAACCATTTTGTTATAAGCAATAAATGGTCACATTTGATAGATATTTTTTTTTTTAATGAAATTATAAAATTAATAATTACTTATTAATATTATTATTATTAGTAATTAATAACATTATTAAATTCAAAAATGCTTTTTTACATTTTTATTTTTATTTTTTTAATATTATATATGTACATATGTTAAATAGTAAATTTGATAAATTAAAATTAATTTGTTATTTTTGCTTTAAAAAAAAAACCGAAAATAAATTGTTTTTTTCTCTCTTGAAAATGATTAGTTAATTTTCTTTTTTTTTACTTTTAAATTTTTTCTCATTTTTAAGTAAAATTTTTGATTGAACAATTTTATTTTTAGCCCATATAATAGATTTTGTTATATTTACACAGCCAAATGCTGCAAATAAAACACATTAAATATGTTTTGCTGAAAATAAAAAGCCTTAACAAGTAACTAAGCCTTAACAAGTAACTAAGCCTTAATATCATTTTTTTTTCTTTTCTTTTCTTCTTTGTAGAATGCTTACAATTTAATTTTTTTTTCTCTTTTCTTATTCCAAATAATAGGCCTAGGCCTAGTAATATTATACGAAATCATTTAATTCACTTTTTCTAGTTCACATGCATGCACATACACACATACACACATACACACATACACACATACATACATACATATAATTGTATTAAATTAATAATTTTGATATATTATTAAATATGAATGAATAAATTATATTGTTGATATAATAATTTTTTCCAAATTACATACATACATACATGTATGTATACAAATGTGTAAATATTCAATTATATAAAATATCTTTTTTAATTTTTCTAACAAATTTAACTAACTTTTCATTATTATTATTATTATTATTATTATTATTATTATTATTATTATTATTTTTATTATTATTATTATTATTATTTTTAGATATTTAAAATTTTTATACTTTTCAATAAATTGATGCTTTTTTTTCTTTCGTCTTTTTTATATTTAATAAAAATGAAATTTTAAAAATGTAAATAAATAAAAGAAAAACAAAACTTTTATTTTTTTTTTCCACAAAACGAATAAAAATTTAATGATATCACTGAGTAAATATTTAATTTCTTGTCTTCACTAATCATTTATTCGAAGGCAATACTCTCTATAAGATATTTTCATTTTTTCTCTTTTAGCTTTTAGAAGCATTTTTATGCTTTCATTATTTTCCTTTTTTCTTTTTACAAACTATTTTTCAGTTGTGTCAACCATTTTCCTAAAAATTCTATTTTCATAATTTGATTGATGCTATCATTGAAATACTTAAGTTAATGCCTTTTTAGATTCGATATCAGCAGATTAAATCATTCGATAAACAAAGCTGAAATAATTAAATTAGCTTAAGAAACTTGCTTATGATTTAATAAATCATATCAAATCATAGTGATAACGATAGCAGATAACTGATGATGATGATGATAATAATGATACTTAAAAATTACTTTAATTTTGAGTTTTCTTTTTTTTTTTTTTTTAATAAATCGAATAATTTAAAAGGCAAATTTTAAAACTTTTAATTTTTGGCTTTTAAAATAGTAAGCTATTGTTACTTCCTTTTTTTTTTAATTAATTTATATTTTTATAAGGTTTTTTTCTATATTTTTCCTGCATCACCGACATCTTTTTTCAACGTTTTTTCCCTTTTTTTTTTTTTTTTTGATGATAATAATAATGATAATAGAAAATTTACTTCTATTATCATAAAAAAATTTTTCAAAAAAATTTTAATCATTTAATTTTTCTAGTGAAAAAAAAGAAGAAAAAAAAACATTAAAAAATTCCTTCATTTTTGTGCTAAAAATAATTCAAAACATTTTTTACAAAAATTTATTTCAAATTGAACAGAAACTTTTTTTTAAATGAAACTGAAATTTGCATCTAAACTTTTGCAATGTT